TGTTAGTTACGAAGAAGAACTGGAAAACAGTAACATTTCGAATACAGCTGCCCTTATTAGAATGAGAATAGCAGAGAGTTTGTTATAAACGCAGTTTTATTATAAAGTATGTGTGTTTAGAATTCAGGTACACCAGCAAAATTCATTTGTCTTAAAATTAATAAAATATTTACATAAAAATTCAACAAAATATCTTTTCAGTCTTAAATCCTAAATCTACATATAAACTAAGTAAATGCAACAAAATATCAATTCACACTTAAATCTAAAAAATATTTACACAAAAAAAAAAACAAAATATCACTTCAATACTCTCACAATAGTGGTATGAAAATTAATTCCGGAAGTACTCCAAAAATTTTTCAAAAATTTCAGATTGGCGTTCCACTGCAGCAGTTAATTTGTTTGTGGCGTCCACCTGCAGCATTGATGCCTCTTCCATTTTTTTGCAGCCTCAGCCTGCCCTTTAGCGGCTTCTGTTTGGACTTTGGCAGATTCAGCCACTGTCTCTCGGAAGGTGCGCTTCCTATTAGTGGAACGTAACGTGTGCGTTGGTGTAGGACGGGTTGTCTGTGTAGTGGGAGTTACTACTCCCACTGGTGGTGGTTGGTTGTGCCTTATAGGAGATTGAAGGGTGGTTGTTTGTTGCCTTCGTTGGTCAAGTGTTGGCGATTCAGTCACAAGTAAAGGAGGCATTTCCTCCAACGACGAATGTCTTGACATGTTAGAGGTCGCCGTCGAAGGAATGCCGAAAACTCTGCCGCTCGGGGCTGCTGACCTCGAAATAAAAACCAGGCTGTCTATGGCCTGCTCCATTTCGGAAAGCGGAGAGTGACGGAATGGACTACCACCGGTAGCAGTAAGGCTTCGTTTGTTTTCGGCAATCTTCTTTTTTGTCCGGATTTTCAATGTCAGTAAAATGGAAATAGTGCGCAAGCATTTATCTACCACATACAATTTATGCACTTATGCTTACTTTCTTCCATTCGACGGCCGTTCTTGTAGGAGGACCATGAGAATTAATTTTCCTCATAATTTCCTCCCACCGCTCCTCTACCCTTCCTCGATCAGATCCAAACACTGCAACACCTCTGGCCAGGTCAGGATTTCTCTCCATTTCTTTTACAAGTACTTCAAATTGAGTGGTTGTAGTTTTTTTAGCGCTACAAGCATAAATATTAATATATTTCCTTAAACCAAGTTATATTTTTTATTTTCTTACTTTTCCTGGCAGAACCCTCCATCTTAACCCTCAAACCGCTAAATCTTTAAGAGTGAAAAATTAATAGTAAATAAATTTTTTTTAGCAAAATTATAGCAGAATGACCTTAAAAATATCTTCTAAAGTAAAATTAAATTTTCCGTTTAGTTGTTACACTAAAAAACAGAAAGGATGCCTCAGGGCACTCATATCGGTTAAAGCCAAAAATAAAACACTGGTATAAAGGGAATTCATGAATGTGTTTCTTATTGAGCAATGTAAAATAATTTAAATGTTAAAGTAAAAAATACTTATTATTTATGATGGTAATCATAAAAACAGTTTTTGTTGCTTGAACAGCAAAGGTGGATATCACACTTTTGACAAATACACTGCGTTTGTGAAGTTTTGCACAATTTGCATTTTCTCTTGCCGCCATCTTTGCTCAGCCAAATTGGAAAATGATCAATTTCATCAAATCGCACGTCGTCAACTGGATGTTTCGCTTTCAGACCAATACTGATAGCTCCTGGCTTCGAGGTTGATGTCAGTGATGTAGATGGACAAGACGTTGGTTTTCGGCCAGATGCTCGTTTTTGCGTATATGCGACCAGACCGGAAGCAATCTCTTCGCGAAACTCGGGCAACTGCAATAATTTCTCCTCCTCCACTGATACATTATTTGAATCATTCAGTCTTTCATTATGAATTCGTTGGTACAGTATAAAGGAATTCGTTGCTGCCATGTCAATAAAGTGATAAAATAATCTGGTCATTGCGTCTCGTGTTTTAGCGCGAATATGATAGCGACCCATTAATCCATCCATCTTATCGACACCGCCCATATGGCTATTGTATTCGTCAATTATTTGGGGACAGTCGACTTCAATATATTTTTTGCCTTTGCGATCATATCTTGTTGCCTTTTTTGCTTGTAAATTAGGATTTGCTCGTGCAAACGGTTCTATTCCAACATAAGTTGATGCAAATCGAACTGACTTATTGTCTTTCCACAAAACATTGCTGATCTCTACTCCATAGGCTATGCCCACAAATTCTGCCGAGAAACCTCTTGGCTTGTCCTTTACAATATTGTCGCATGGGAGCTTACAGTTGGAAATTCGATTTACCCGGATGGTTCCTAAGCTGTAAATGCCACGCGCACGTAAATAAACTAACAAGGGCAACGTAGTGTAGAAGTTATCAAAATAAATTATATGATGGACAAAATCGGTTACAGTTTGTGATAATCGGATAACCACATTTGCAGTACTCCCAAGATCGGGATTTCCTGGTAAAATTGTATTATCACCAGCGCCGTTATAAATTTCAAAGCGATATGCAAATCCATATGAATCGCACAACACAAATAATTTTATGCCCCATTTGTGCGGCTTGTTTGGCATGTATTGCCGAAGGTGGTGCCTCATTTTAGTACTGCACATCTGCTCATCGACGCAGAGTCGCGCCTGCTTTGGGATCGAGTCAAAACGTTTGTTGAGCAGATCGGAAAGAACTCTTATCCGAAACAAAGGATCGTAACCTGGTTGTCCTTTTTTGACTCTTTCACTTTCATTCCGGAACGACAAATACTTTTTCATTACCTCAAACCGTTTAAAGGTCATTGTGCTTTGAATTTGCTTGAATGAGTTTTTTCCCCAGTAGCTCTCCAAGTACTTGTAAAGTTCATAAATGTCTGTGTTAAATTTTGTATTTATATCTTCACATAGAGCTGCACGATTTGTTTCTTCGGAAATCATTGACATAATTTCTTTGTTGAAGAAATAGCAAAATATTTCCATTGGTGTTCGAAGTTTTTTGACATCACTTGGCAGCGAGGTGTCTCCTCTAAAAGCAACCTCATTAACATGCAATTTTAGTGACCGTTGGCGCCATATAATTTTTGAAAATTCTTGCGAGTTCTTAGATATTGATTCGATACCTTTAAAAAATAATATTTACCAAAAGACATATGTATATATACATACATATATACTTATTTATATACATAAGTATAATTGGAGGAAACGAATTTTACACCAAATACTTACTTTCACCAGTAAAACCACCAGCAGAGGGCATTATTGATGGACCTGCAGTTTCGATTGCAGGTAGCGGAGACCGAACTCTTTTTCTCGGATTTTTCGTATCCGAAGAGGAGGCACCCACATCAAGCTCTGTGGTTTTTTCTCCGCCTGCCAACGAAGTTTCCAGTGCACTGGTATTCAACGACATATCTAACGCGCCATCAATAAAGATATCACTGTCGTCTATATCTTTAATGCATTGTGATATAATGTGTTCGTCTTCTGGATCTATTCCTTCTGGCATATATTCTGGGTCTGCAATATCATCGTCGGAACTGAAATCGTTTTCTGCATCAGTGTCTATCGAATCCATTATTTCCTGCAATTGCTCCTCCGTCAACTCGGATAACTTTATCCGAGACGATCGTTTATAGACAGCATCTCCCATATCTATCAATCACTTTGGAAAAATAGAGAAAATGGGAGGAAAAAATAAAAGAAATCCACTACTGAGGAAATATCAGCCGAAATATTGAACTATGCTTTTTTACACCGGAACCGATAAGGATGCCCTGAGGCATCCTTCACTTTTTCATTCATAGCACACTAATTTCGATTTATTTACAGCCATTAAATATGCAAAGAGATATCATAATATCGTACCTTTTCAACAAAAATTGTTTCAAATCACTAAATTTTTATTTTGGTCAATGTTTTAGACAATAAAAACAAAGAAATCACTGCAAAAGAATATTATGTCAACGAACACACTTCTCATACGCGACTGGCCATAAATGGAAAACGAAACTTTTGCGAGCATTCAAAGCTTCTAAGCAAAGAATGCCAAATTTCTGATGAAACTAATGGCAGTTATTTTAAACAAAAAATATATGCCCCTGTAGGGAAAATGAGATTTTAGTAATGGATGCCCTGAGGCACTCTTACCGGTTAGAGGGTTAACGATCACTAATAACCTTTCGTCTGTTTTCAACGATTGTCGTCTCACTTTCGTCTTCTATTCGCCTTAAAAAATTCCAAACTAGACGAAAACTACGTAACGATCAGCTGTTTTCGTGCTGCCAGACGATTTCGACTTACATACTACCAACACACGAAAGAAACGTCTGGCAGACGAAACGAACGTTCGCTTCGAGATACATGATTAGGCTGAAAATCTTTGTTTTTTAGTGTGATGCCGACGTCATATTCAAATATGCAGGCATTTAGACCAAAATACACACATATGTTAATCGTAAATCCTGTTTTGTTTGTATAACTTGTGATTGTTTTTGAACTTTCTAAAAAGAGAAGTATTTACTTAATTTTGAATGATTATAACTTTTATAAGATAATATTTATTTCACTATGATCCTGTAAAAACAAAGCAACCGAACTGATTTAGCGCTATCGATAGTGCTATCGATAGTTTTGTTTTTTTCGAGACTATCGTGAATATTGATAGTTTTTCTGAAAACTATCAAAACTATCGATGGTGATGGTGATAAATGAGTATTTGATGAAGCAGCTGCATGATTCCAAGGCATGATTCAATAATACAAGGTTCGATAAACTGACATTTGTCTCTCGCACCGCTCCCTTAGTGGCACCGTGTTGCTTCTTTGCAATTTTACATTGAAACAGTGTAGCTTTGGTGTGAAATAAAAGTATAAGCTTTTGTGCAAGATCTTTATTTGTATATGCATATGAAGCATATTTAACTGATGAAAACATAAGCATTGGATGTTTACATCAGTCTCATAGTAGTCTTATTTTAATTTTGAGTCATTTTGCAGTTTTTATACGGCTAAATAGCATATAAATTACGTAATTCACGTAGATATATCAATATTACGTTCAACATTTCGTTTAAAATGCCAGATTTCCTGCAAATACATTAGAATTTATGAAAGGAATTTCACTACTAATTGCCTACTTGCGTACTTTTCTACTACCATTTTCGAAACAAGGGATTGCCCTTTCTCTGTCCTCCGTAAATGCAACCTTTTGTAATGCCCGTATGATACTACGTTTTTTTCCTGTATTTTTCATTTGAAATACAAACAAAAAAACTGACGAAAGTCAAATTACAAAAACTATTCGGCAATAGTTGTGTTTTTTTACAAATTAGGAGCGTTCCTTATCTCCCAGAAATAGTCAGAAAAAGACCAAAGTAGTCAGATTTAGTCCAAAAAGCGTTCCTTAACTCGGAAATGACAGCAAAAAATCAGAGAGCAACACCCAGTGAGAGTGACTCTCATCAGTCCGAAGTAGTCAGAAGAATTTTTTCTGGCAAAATCCTGAAAAGTGTCAAACTTAACTAAATTTAAATTAACGGAAATTAAAGAATACGCAAAAAGTGAGAATAATCTAAAAAGTAAAAGAAGTGAATTGAAATTGGAAGGAGGCAAAAAATAATTGATATAATAAGTGTTTATTGTGCTTGTGCTTGTGTGAATGTGTTTTGTACATACATTTCCATTTTTATTTGACGTTAGCTTTGTTGTTGCCATTCTTTGGACTAAAAATTTGGCTTTTTGCGTTCCTTTACTTTTTCTGTTATTCTCTTTTAGTGAGCGCATTTTGCTTACGCTCCGGCATTTTGACACTTTTCAGATTATAGTCCAAAAAGATAAGGAATGAACCTATTATCCAGTAACTTGCCAGTAACTCTCCAGTAACTTTATTTCTAACAATTCGCTCTCATAGAAAAATTTGCAAAAAAGTACGCGAACGCTTTTCCAGTAATAATTTGCAAGTTTCATGAACAGCTCATAAATTGGTTGTTTATTCGCAGCAAATTCCTTATAAAACAATATATTTTGTATTTAAATAGGTTTATTCTGTGAAATTCAACAATAAAAAGCCACAAACAGTTTCCTTATTAGTTTAAATTTCATCCAGCAGCATGCGATCAGCTGTTTTTCGTACTGGCAAATTCTTACAAGTAAAAATTTATCCAGTAAAATCCAGTAAAAACTTGCAACTTCAGCTGTCATTTTTCGCTCTCTCAATTTCCCCTACTTGGCAAGTTTTTGCGTACGAAAACGCGAAAACATGAAAATTCGTAAAAACTTTTACTGGATTTTACTGGAAATGAGTAAAAAAACGCAACTTATGTGTTAGAGAAAGACAAATTCTGTGTGAAGAACAGCTGAGTTTTGACGTTTCATTACCGAAATTCAAATAAACGAAATTAAAATTGATGTAAAACAGTTTTGTAACAATAAAAATTAAATTAAAGTGGCAAGACAACTACGTATTCCATTTATTTGACAAAGTCCACGGTGCAGAATATATATGGAATCATATGCTACCATCATATAAGCACAAATATAAAAAGCAGCAGTTTTGGCTCGCTTTGGTGGATGAAATGAACTCAACGTTCACAGCAAATGTACCATTTCAATACGGTAAGTTTTTAGCAAGTTCACATGTAATAACTAAAAGATATATTATATATATGTTTGTATAATACATATATGTATTTAAAGATGAAGTTACGCACAAGTGGTGCAACATCAAGTCATATCTCAGTTCAGAGAAGCAGAGGATGGACAAGGCAAAGAGAAGCGGTGCCGGCGGAGACGAAAACGTACAGACCAGCTGGAAGTTCTATGAAGCTTTGAAATTCCTACAACATGTGAATGAGCATACACCATCAGTGAATAATTTTTATAAGTGGAGTTTGCAGGTACGACTTTTATTGTGTAAAACCGGGCAAAGCGTCGATTCGCGTGCTACGTAAAATTTGCTTAATATTTTCATTCTCTTGTAGAACCTGGACCCTGATCCCAATCCATCGCGTAAGCTTGGGGAGCAACTGCAGCCTGCAGAATGTTTCTATCCAGGCTTTGACTCAGAGTCATCTTTTTCACTCATCGAAGACAACACAGAGTTCATTACAATTACCCCTCTTGCAATTACAAGTAACAGCAGTATCCAGTCGCTCCAAGATACTAAAAACATCTCTACAGAAGACACTAATAGTGATGCAACACCAATTAAAATCATATCGGATGAGATTGTAACTCCACCTCTGGTTACTTCGCAAAACTGTGGTCGGTTTGATGACAATAACAACAATAGCACTAGAAAGTTGGTCCATGCAACAAGAAAACGAAGAACAAAAATTAATTATGATTTGGATGAAAACGCCTCTGCTTTAATCGAAGCATCACAAAATGTAACAAATGCCTTTCATGTTGCATCAAAAACAAATAACACTGACGAAAAGGCAAACAGTTTTGGGATATACAGTATATTTTGCTTTGCTGCCTCTATGCTTAAGTGCACATTTAAGATACCTACCCCAAAATGCGCATCAAAAGCATTATTTTTAACATTTATAAGGAAACTGCTCCGATAGACGCATTCAACATACCTGCACATTGGCGATACCTGCCTTAAAAATTGTGCGACTAGTGTCAATTATTAATGAAAGTATTACGTTTACCTGTACTGGGCCTTCAATTACCTAATTTTACAACTTTTTATTTATTGTGCTCATCTCGCAGAACAACGAAAATGGCTATCAATTTATGTAGTTATATAGATAATTAGATAAAATTTGGTAAAAATTACGCTTGCAGTAATTTCTACATGGTAAGTGCTCCGCCAATATTTGGTTTCATAGGGATTCGGATACCTTCCTCCTTGAAGTAGTAAAGAAAATTCGCTTAAGTGCCTTTTTCGGTTACGTGCACAAGTTTTTCGTGCAAAGAAGGATGTGCAGCTAAGCAAAATATACTGTACATGGGTGAAGAAATTGTAAAACTGGACCCCGACTTGCAACTCAAAGCGAAGAAACAAATGCATGACATTTTGATGGATCTGCAAAGTGAGCAATTGAAACGGAATGGGCTTATGTAACACAATGACTATTTATATGTATGTATGTACACTCATAGACAAAAATAGGAGTGTCCCTTTTTGTCATGTTTTGACAATTTTCCGTAGGTTATTGAATTTTAATAACTTATTTATAAAACTTTAGTTAACTCTACAACCAAACACATATCACTAGAAGCTTTAAACTTTAAACAAAATTCAAGAAAATGCATAAAATTACATAACAATTTCGAACTTCCTTTTAAGTATTTCAAAAACAAAATCGGTTGTTGCGGCGCCCTCAGCTTAAAAAAAACAATACCCAAAATTAACGGTGATCTTAAGCCACTTGAAATTTGCCATTTATTACATAAAAATTACACATCTACACAGACATGCAATTTTCTTTTTAATATTTAAAAGAAAAAAATCGAAATTTTGATGTGTTTTCCTGAATTTCGTTTAAAGTTTAAAAGTTTTATTGATATGGTTTTGTTTGTAGAGTTAAGTATACATCCCGTGTCATAATTATAAACGCACCACATATTGCCAAGTTTAAAGATTTTTAATTAATGGGGTGTATTTTTACAAGTAAATTATTAAAGTTCAATAAATAAAAGGAAATTAGTCAAACTTTACGAAAGGAGGCAGAGTTATTATTTTGCCGAGTGAATATGTATTTTGATTATTCTTACCACTTTTTTACCTTATTATTACTTTCATTAAAATATTTGGTCGCTCTAATTGAATCAAAAATGTAACAGTGTTTGTACTACTCACGGTGCACCGGTAAGTAGGCAGGTATTAGCTAGT